CATCAAAGGGAGTGGAGTGAACCATGGCCAAACCTAAGTGAACTCGACTGTTCCGAACATTTCTTTCTGGGTTATTGCGCACAAACTCCGACAGCTCGGACCCACCACCCCTTTTGTGCAACCCACTCCCCACTCCATATAATCCCCCCCTCTATAAGCATAGCTTGGAGATACTACGCAGTTCGGAACATCGAATCGCTATAGCATTAAGGCAAATGACAAACGCCAACGCATCGACAGAAGCTAAATGCGACATCAAGTGAAGCAACTTTTTATTCATTTTATGTTTTCATTTCAATGGGCAAACGTTTGTGGAAAATGCTTATGCATATGAATTTTTTTCAGCTGCAGCAAGTGGAACTTTAGATGCATTGTAATGGATACCATATGCGGACAATGTAACCCAACATAGAATATATGTTTATGTTTATTAGCTCTTTATGCTAATAAAAATAATTAGTTTTAATGCTTAAATTGGCCGACATTATTTTAGAATTTCTCAAGTGGGTTACATTTTTGTTGAAATGAATTATATTTTGCTAAATTCCATTTGCTGATACAAGCATTACAAATTTTAAATATTTTTAAACCATATTTCTCATTGTTTTAATAAATATAAAAAATAAATTCTAAGGGATTGAACTTTTTTGACAAAACCAAATTCTTTAATATCAGGGTGCAAAATGTATTTTTAGCCATATCTACCAAAGCCTATAAAAGACCCCCAGTAAAGCTTCTCGAAAAGTGACGCAAGCGATTCTTTGATGTCACAGCGGCACACACACACATCCCACTCAAACAAAGAGACACTTGTGAGGTTCCACTGTACTAATACCTCTGTGAATCGAGATTCATTGTGTGGTGACTGCTTATCAAACGATCGATGATAAATGTGGGATTGCAGGTTTCTCTGTCACCACATATGTATATAAATTCAAGTTCGCGTACCTTGCTGCACTTTGGTTGTACATATTAATGGCATTTAGTTGAGCTTTTTATTATATTTGTATATATATAAATGGATGTTTTATAACGCGTAATTTCAATTAGTACGTGAGACGCAGTTGTCAGCATTCCATGTGTCTCTTCTTAGGCAAATCCGCTGGGCACGACGCATATTTTTTATCACTTTGTTTATCATTATCAGTACTAGGTCCAGCTGCCGTACACAGAATACTGGGTCAGCGCCGTCTGTGGCCCCCCAATCTATAGTAAGCAATCAATCAATTCAATAATCGATTTACGCGCCCTTCTGGCGGATTACATCAGGCGCTCAACTGGTGACTCGGAAATGACTAGACTCAACACCATCATAATGACTAGCTAAAAGTCGTAATGAAAATAATCTCTTTGCACGTTTGCATTTTAAAAATAAAATGATGATCCCGGAAAAAAATCTTTAAATAAATATATATATTTAAATTCATTTACTTAGCCTGAAACAATATAATTAAAATATTAAACACTTAGGAGATTCCTCTAAAAAATATAAAATAAATCTACGTAAGCCCAGTATTTTTGAAGACCAATATTTCATTGCTCTTCATTACAAATAACAACCTGATAATTTATTGCATATAAGAGCCTAAAGCAGATTCATGTTGTTTTTTTTATTCTTCCTACCCTTTTGTATCCTTATTTAGCCAATATTCCCGTTCTTTATAATCAAATGAAATTTGGAAATTATTGTTGAAGGAATTTCCCAAGCCTTCCTGCATAAATATAGCGCTCAAAGTGCCTCTATTAAAGCGCCTCAATTGTGTTTGAGCGTCGCCAATTAAAAGGGAGATTTATGGGCAAATATAAATCGACCGCCCGCCACCCCTTGCAGACACCCCCTTCCCCCGCCCCCGCTGGGCTTAAAATAGTTCTGACCGCAGTTGGTTACTGTTACTGGCTTTCCCCTACTTTCAGTGCAGGAGCAGAAAAGGCTCTCTCTCCTCTCATTCAGATTTTGTTTACAAACAAATTTGTTTGACCTGCGCAGACGAGGGCATTTTCCATTTTCCCCGATGATTACCTAGCAACCTTCACAGGCCCTATCGAATGTTGTGGTTCACTCTCTCGCTGCAATTATGTGTGTATATATATACGTTGTATATAGATATATAGAAAGTAACGACTTCCGCATTTAGGGAAATGTAGGCCCAGAAAAACTTTTTCGCAGCCTCCCGTTCCGCAGCATTTTTGGGGGTCACCTTTGCTATTTTTGGTGCTGGGATGGTGCCTAGTTTAGAGAGCCGTAGGTGCCCCCATACACCGTACATGGGTTAAGCTGCAAATCGATGAAAGGCCCTTACCCGTAGCTGCAAATCAACGCCAGTGGAAAATGAACACGTCAGCAAGCCCAAAAGCAGGGGAAAGGGATTTGGGAGGAACTGCGCAGTGTGCAGTTACTGGGCCTACGTCCTACCACCTGGAACCACCCCGTAATCCCCACCCTTCCGAAATTCCTCCCCCATAGGTTTCACTGCAGCTGCGTTCATTTCAGAATTATGACATAATTTTTGACATTTTGATGCGCAGTCAAGAACCTCAGTGGCAAAAAACTTACATAACTCGTCATTACTATACAACTTGAACTTGACTCTGGTCTTTGTCTTCACATTTTTTTTTTTTGTTTTGGACAAATTACAAACAGGTTTTTTCCTCACCGAATTTCACTTTCTTTGGTGCCATAAATCAGGACCTGCCAGGAAGCTAAAACAGTAACCCAAAACCGAGACAAGAGGATATCAAGTGTTCATTGTTTGGGTTTTTGTTTGGATATCTTTCGGATACACATGCGTAATTACAGTTACGGCAAGTCGGCTGACTAACTTCCTAATTATAGTCAGGCATTATCGGTCCCGGAGAGAGGGTCCGTAAGCAATGCGTGCCATTTTCAGATTAGCCTTCAGCCATCTGCTGCCTACTATGCTACCTGATAGCCACGGTTTTTGTAGGGGTATCTGGGTTTTAGTATCCGATGGGCTGAGACGACCCTCGGGACCGTGACAAACTGCCGCGTCAGTTAGCAGCGGCGAATACTAACTGCTCTGTTCTAATTAAACCCGCTAATGCCGTCTAACGATGACTTAATTGCCTTTACTCCCCGCTCAGGTCGGCTTTGCCGAGTGAAAAGCGCCTTAAAGGTGGTCAGCGCCTTAAAAGGCCAAGACTAGTTCAAAAATAGCTTACAAAGGAATTGACGTTGGTACAGGGAGGAAAAAAGAATCATCTAAATGGGTCGATGATATCTTGATTTCATTAAAAATCAAGCTACACAAAGAGAAACTAATAAAAATATGGGTCAGTCAATAATTCAATATTTTTTTATTTTCTTAATTTTTTTTTTAAGCCCATATATAAGAATCTTAACATTTTGCTTTGATTTCTGTAGAGCTACTATACGCTTTAATATTAAAAAAAAAAACAAAAATATTTCTCTGTGCAGAACTTGGACTTTCTGTGACTTCGGTTACCCTTTTGGCCAATTAAGGCGGCCAGATTCGTTGGCCGCGATCGGGGCAGCCAACTTACTATATCTGGCGGATACACACTCGTATTTCGAGGAGCTGCAGCATCATCAGCTGTTCGCTGTTTATGTTGTTGTCTGTGGCTTTTGTTTTTCAATTTTTCTTTCGTTACCACAGACAAACAACTGGCCAGACTTGATTTATCATCCGGGCTCGTTCTGCCCCTCCGTTTTGGACCCTCCGTTTCGATCCAGCACCTTCGGTTCTTCAGCTCGAAAAATGGACAATGGACAATGGCAAACTGCAAGACCTGTTCTGCACATTTGCCGCATGATTCACTTGGGTTTTCGGGCCTGCATTTGTGGTTGTGGAGTAGCAAATGGTTTCTCCCAAAATGCTCCCTATTTTCGTTTGTCTTTGGATGAATCTCAACACATGAGCAAATACATTTTTTTTTGTTGGCTGGCAGCCAGCGATTTTTTGGCCATTGAAATGCTTAGTTGTAGTTAAGGAAATAATTGCAAGGCTAATTAAGATGTTAATCAGCGAAACATTCATTGCACTTGCCATCGCCAGATGACACTCCATGAACACATAGTCATAATGTTTGCACAAAAAAAACTCGATTGTGGGCCAAAGTGCAGCAGCTAAATGAGCCTGAACACGCAGAGAAAGTTTGTTTAGCTGGGCTTAAATAGTGGCTATTTTTTTACATTTTTATTTTAAACAAAAAGGTTGCTTAAATGGTTCTAAAAAACTCACAGAACTCATTAAAAAGAATTGTAATTGTGTCTTATTGTAACAATAAATATTTGATAAATGTGATGTATATTCTCTGTAACGTTTTAAATTTAAAATCCAATAACACATTTTAAATAACATTTTAATTAAATTTCAATAATTTTTTTAATAATTTTTTTAAATTAATTAAAGATATCCATTAAATACCAGATACCATTAAATCTGTTTATTTTAAGTAGGCAAACGGTATCCCAAATTGAGTTCTGCTTATTGGATTTACACCAATTAAGTCCCAACAATTGAAGGGAAAGGTCCTAGTTTTTTTACCAGTGCCCTCAGCTGGCAAATGCCAGAGATCTGAGATGTGTCACGGATCTGATAACGATCGCTACAAATGTTGAAAACGTGATGCAAGTCAAATTTATGGCTATTAGATGCCCAGAATGGAAATCCCCTAACAAGAAACTCGGACGATTCGCAGCCCGAATACGATACATTGGGGGAAAAAGTTTCTGGTGAAGAAAAACTCGGCCTGGCCGAAACCAAGGAAAACTCACACAGTCGCAAAAGTGTGAACTCTTTGGATGCGAAGGTGCAATCAGAATTTTTTTCCTGCTTTTTTGTTTTGTGCATTTTTTTGTGTATGTATCGCTTGGGTGCACTTGAGATGTGTGTACATGTAAATCGACTTGCAGCTAAACTTTGAGAAACATATCTGAGAATGTGTATACATTTGAGTGAGTGTCCTTTCCTTGGAGGACTTCCGCTTAAGTTTTTTTTGGGGGTTAAAACTGCACTTACTTGCTGCCCGGAGTTTATTGATCGATCGATGGCGGAATCGGAATCTTCCCTTCTCTGATTTCTATTCTCTGCAATATTCTGCACCAGCACAGCTTTTCACACAATTTTCAAAATGTTTTTAATTGTGATTACTGTTTTTTTTTTTTGTGCTGATTACTTCCGTTTTTTGTGAACTGAGAGGGGGTGAGAAGTGCGGAAGGCAGCGCTACAGGAAACTCCGTGACGTATGCTAGCAACGACTGACGAGCGAATGATGGCAGAAGGTTTACAAACGGACCAGCAAAGCTGGTTGTCACTATCCGTGTCTGTATTTTGTCTTGGTATTTGTTACAGCACTGCTGTATTGGTGGGTCTACAGCTGAGCCCGACACACTTACCCTGTTTCTGCTCCACCACCGAGGTTTCCGCTGCTGCGCATGTGCAAGAGAGGTCTTTTAAGATACCCTATCCTAAGTATCCTAACGACGAATACGCTATGGGTAATGACACAGAAAGTATAAATAATAATATTTAACATTCAGGTTTTGATATATTCAGACATTTAAACTTCAAGGATGGTATTTGATTTCCATAAAATGAAAACAAATATTTATAATCGGATTTACACAAAATATATATTTAAAAGAGGCTAAATTTTTAATTGTTTGTTTTGAACATTAAAAATTTTAATAGGTATATTAAACTAGTTTTGTATAAAAAGAAAAAAAAAGGGTATCTCATGATCATATTAAGCAAACCCCCAGAAGATTGTATTTTTTTCGTAATTTGCAAGCCTCTCATTTTCTCTCTTTAGCAGCTGATTTTGTTTGTATACAAAAATCATATTGAATTCTGAGAGCAGGGAGATGAGAAAGAGAAAAAGTGAGAGATAGAGAGAAAATTACTATGTAAATAAATAAAGAGAGGAATATATTCCATATAAAATAAGGACTTATAAGAATATTAGGAATTCAAAAAAAAAAGTGCCGTGACAGTTCCAATTAAATTTTCATGGCGTTTTCCTAGATAGCTTATAGCACAAAAAAAGCGGGAAAAGAAGAATACAAAATTAGTTGTTTATATGTTGTAATAAACGTTATAATTGAAGGGGAATTTTATCATTTAGAAATAATGCAAAACGTGAAAATTCTAATGCAATAACCAAAATTCGAAATGAAAATTATGTAAATTATAAACTATTGAATATTTTAAGTTCATACGAAATTTTCCACAGTGTTTTTCAAACTGAAACTGAAAAGATACAATAATTCAAAACATTTGGGATCCAATATACTAAAAGAAATTCCAAGCTAGTATTTATTCTTTTTTTGAGAAAGGTAATATTTAAACGTACGGTCACTCTGAATCAGCCGCCACTAGAACGCACGTGTTTACGTTTTTAGCAAATTGAACGCAATTTCTTGACTTTTTCGTACTTCTCGGGTATAATCTAATATCCGACACGCAATATGGGCAGAAACAATCGCTCCCGTAAGCGCCGCGATGAAATGAATAAGATAAAGAAGGCGCGTTATGAAGTAAAGGAGTTAATTCGCCTAAAGAAAACTCTGGGACTCCTCGATGCCGATGGAAATGAGATCATGAAAGATATTAGCGATGTGGTCGAAATTAAGACCTCCAAGGAGCTTAAGAGGGTGAGTTGTGTGGATTTGTATACGGTAGCTGATTACATGTACTTAATTCTGAAGCTAAGTACCGACTTTTACCTTACCTCGGTATTTATTTTGGTCTGCACCGCTTACCTTACCTACTGTTACTTTTAAAACTTTACTAAAAACCATTTCAAATCCTTTCACAGGAGGCCAAGACCAAAGAGGAACAGGAACTGATCTATGAACACCAGGAAAGTCTGGAGAAGGGCGAAAAAGTCAAAGTGACCAATGAAAACACAGGCGTGGAGCACGTTTTCAACAGCAAGACCCTCAAGGATCAGTACGGCAATTATCCTTCGTGGTTCAAAAAGAAGAAGACCGCCAAGCGTCTAAGGAAGAAGCAGCACTCCCAGAAGAAGAACTTCAAGCAGGCCTGGACCACGGTTAATGTACCCCTCTAAATCCGGGGCAGAATTACCCATCTGGTATATAATCATAGTTTTTAAGTCCTCGCTTAGATTAGGTAATTTTGTAGGCTTTTTCTACAAAGATGTTATAGCTAAGAGTTCATATTTCAAATTAAAGACCTCACAAGTTTTAAAACAAAGATTTGCAGGCCTTTTTTCCGTTTTCAATGAAAACTCAACACATTCTCCAAATAGTTGTTAAAGCTACGACTTATTATTGCTTATTAAAGCCTTAAAATCTACAAACAGTTGCGGTGTCATGTGAACATCAAAATATCCAACGCTTAAATTAGAAACAATGTTGAGATGATGCTTTTTAGCTCTACTGCACATGGATAATCACAAAATGGGGATATTGAACTAAAACCAGTGTAAAATTTCTACTGAATGGAACAATAGCTGCGCACACTGCAGATAACTCCGCTGGTGGCCGCCTCCAAGCGCCGCGTATTCGCCGACCAGATGTGCGTAGTGGCCAGAGCCGTGGATGCGGATCGTGGAGCGCTTTCTCCTGCGGGTCATTCCGGCTTCTCCTTGAGCTCCAGTCTCTCGGTCGATTCGCTATCCGGCTCCGCCTGCTCCTCCTCTATATTGCCGTGCATTACATTGGGATTAGCCTTGAGAACGGAACCACCGGTGAAGCCAAGAATGCCACAACCCACGGCAGCCAATCCTCCAGCTTTAATTCCTGCCACCAGGCCTATAGGTCCTCCTACACAGGTGCCCAGGAGAGCTCCCATAACAGGGTACATGGCCTTCTTGTAGGTGAGAGCCCGGCGCAGGTTCAATTCGCCTTGCTGAACATTTTCCAGAGCTTCCTCCGCATTGTCTGCGATCTTCTCAACCACTACTGATTGCTCTGCAGTCAGTTGTCGCATGCCGTGGAACATTCCGTGTAGATCGTAAATCTCCCTTTGCAGGTTTTCCATCTGATCCAGACAGGCTTGTCTTTGGGCCAACTGGTGCTCCTCCGGCTGGAAATTGAGTTGTAGTTGCGGCATGTGACGGTGGGCTGGTAAATTGGTCATGTCCACGTCCTGTGGTTCTTTATCCTGGTCTTCGTCGTACTGGGAACCCAAAGTTGAGGTAGGTGACTTGAGTTGCAGTTCTGAAAATCGGAATATATAAGAAATCCCAGGTATTTAAAGGGACTAAACCCAACTAACCTGCAAATTCCTTCATGCCAGCAAAGGCGTTTTCCCTGCCAGGACGCATGAGGTCATCAAAGCGTTCCAGATCCTCCTCCCGCACTTTTTCACGCAGTGCATCCATTTCCAGAAGCAGATTCTTGATCTGCTTGACAACCCGCCAGGCATTGAGTTCCTCTTTTTTGATTTTTTGCCAGTCGCCGAGGGCAAGACTTTTCTCAATATTGCTGCGATGGTTTTTTAAAAGGCTCAGATGGTGGGGTACCTGTGGGTTTCAAAGTGGCTAAATTTTGGGTCTGTTATTGGACCTATAGTATTAGATTTACCGCCGTATCCTGAAACCTTTGTATGGAGATCTCCGCCTGTTTGAGCGGCAGCTTCTCATCGCGTGTCATCTTGAACTGAATACTTTGAGCTCGCTCCGCTTTGATTTGTAATCAATTTGTAATTGTGGTAAAAGTGAAATCTGGGGGATCAGTTTCTATAATACTCCCGCCTCTTTTTCCATCGACCTTGCCTAAACAGATTTCCCTTGTGTTTCTGCGCAGTTTTCGCTTTGTTTCGCAAGTGACGTCACTATCATGCTTCTGGGATTTTCCAGAAGGTCTGTAATGTTCAATTGTTCTTAATGACGCAAAGTTGGCATGGTTTCGATTATGCTGGTGGTGTTCCCTTTAATTAATACTGATAATAGCATTATTGTGATGCACTATTTTTGTTTGTTTGTTGTTGCTGTTTGGTTTTGCTGGTGAGCAGTGTGACCAGAGTTGATACAGAGACTAATTCTAAATATGGCATAATTGTATATATGCCAATAGGTTGTAAACTTTGATAAAACGTTTCCGTCAATGGCAAGATACAGTCTTGTTCAAACAAATAGGAATAAGATGTTAATTCTGGTTATATTATTTCAAAAAATAAAAGAATATATGGTTATTTTTACCATTTTTAATATGTAATATTGATGAATTGTGAACTTCATATTCAAACCCTTTAAAACTCTTTGATGTACATACAATTTCTATTAATCCAGTTAAAAATGTTGGACATTTATTTTTTAATTTTTAAGTCCGGAACATCAGAAAGATTAAAACATTTTCCGTAAACCACCAACAAAAGAAACCTACTCAAATCAGAAATTGCATTTATTTGTGCAGTGATTTCTCATATACATTAAAATTATATACAGATACATGCAGAAACTAATCGGTGCACCACCCACATTATTGGGTGGTGCAGAGTGCGGTGGTGCGCTTACGGCTACAACTTCAGATCTCGATACATTTATGACACGTTCGCTTAAGTACTAATAGCCCGATCCGAGGGCTGATTCTACAGACTACAGAGGCACTCGACTCGCGTTCGGGAATGGCTTACAAGCAGGAGCCGCTACACGTAAACAGAGTGGTCAATTAAGTTAACTAACATTTAATAATAGCGTAGGGAAATGCAGTTCTGTTTTAGGGGCAGTTGGCATTGGGACCGTTGCGGCACTTCAGCAGCAGGTTGAGCATCCCCTCCAGCTTGTTGGTCCGCGACTCCGTCTTGTACAGATTCGTCTGCAGTCGACTGACATCTTGAGCCTGCTTTTCCTGTAAATAAATAAAACTTGTTAAGCCAATTTTGTTTCATGTTAGTTATATCTATATTTACGAAGACTTGTAAAAGGCTGACACACAATTGGACTTCCACATTCCATAACTTTATCAAATTTAATCATATTCCACAGTGGCATACCTCTAAAGACTCGTGATTCGATTCTCTAAAAATCTGCATTCAAAATTTTCAAATTGACGTTGATCAAATTTTTGACCCATTTTCATGTTAGTTATTTCTAATTTTCCGATGTCTTGTAAAAGTGTGACTCAAAATTGGACTTCCATAGTCCATAACTTTACCAAATTTAATCCGATTTCAAAGTGGCATACCTCTAAAGACTCGTAATTCGATTCTCTAAAAATCTGCATTCAAAATTTTCAAATTGACGTTGATCAAATTTTTGACCCATTTTCATGTTAGTTATTTCTAATTTTCCGATGTCTTGTAAAAGTGTGACTCAAAATTGGACTTCCACAGTCCATAACTTTACCAAATTTAATCCGATTCCAAAGTGGCATACCTCTTAAGACTCGTGATTTGATTCTCTAAAAATCTGCATTCAAAATTTTCAAATTGATGTTGATCAAATTTTTGACCCATTTTCATGTTAGTTATTTCTAATTTTCCGATGTCTTGTGAAAGTGTGACTCAAAATTGGACTTCCACAGTCCATAACTTTACCAAATTTAATCCGATTCCAAAGTGGCATACCTCTAAAGACTCGTGATTCGATTCTCTAAAAATCTGCATTCAAAATTTTTAATTTGACGTTGATCAAATTTTTGACCCATTTTCATGTTAGTTATTTCTAATTTTCCGATGTCTTGTAAAAGTGTGACTCAAAATTGGACTTCCATAGTCCATAACTTTACCAAATTTAATCCGATTCCAAAGTGGCATACCTCTAAAGACTCGTAATTCGATTCTCTAAAAATCTGCATTCAAAATTTTCAAATTGACGTTGATAAAATTTTGGACCCATTTTCATGTTAGTTATTTCTAATTTTCCTAAATTTTTATTTTAACGTTAATAAATTTGTTGACCCTTTTTTTTAAGGAATCTTAAAGTTTTTGTGTTTCTGTAATTTTGACACTAAACTATCACTGAAAATTATATAAATCTTTAGAAATCCTTTGAACAATCCTTACCAGCGTGCTCAGCCGACTCTTGAGTGTGTCCACCACACTGTAGGTGGCCTGGAGCGACTTTTGCAGCTCGTTGGTGTGCACTCGCTCGTTGGCCAGTGACTTTTCAATCTTCTGCAGCCGCGTGACCACCTCCGCATCCGTGTCATCTATGTCGTTTTCTAGATCTCGTGCCTCGAAGGCATCGTCCGCATTTGTGGACACCTTCTTGCAGCTCTGTTGGTCCGCCTGCAGGACGAATCCTTGGCGGCAGCGACAGAAGTAGGATCCCGGCGTATTGACGCACTGCTGATCGCAGGGCTTTTCCGTCCGGCACTCGTTCACATCCAGCTCACATTGACGTCCTGTGTATCCTGATGGACAACTACAAGTGTTTGGAGCCGTACAATTTCCGCCGTTCTGACAACGCGTGGAGCAAACAGCTGCAAAGCATAGTAAGTAATTAGGTAAGTAATTAATTTTCTAGATCAGAAAAAAATATATTTTACTATGCCAAAAAGACCCGAAAAAAAGAGAATACTTTAAAGAAATCAATTGTTAAATTAGAACGCGATCATTAAATAGTTGGGTTGGCTAACAAGTCGGATACGCAATTTTGGTAGCATATTAAGTATACTCCCCCAGGTTTTTAAAAATGTATAATTTAATTCTTGCTATAAGTTTTTCCTATACAGTTTTTTTAATAGAGGACAGTATAATCTAACATTCATAAAAATGTGTCTTTTTAATTTTTGTGGTTCGGGGATCTTTTAAGGGAAAACTGATACTGGTCTTGAAACTAGATATTCATAAAATATGCAGTATACAACATCCAAAATTATAAATCAAGGTATAATTCTAATGTCAGGAACAACCATCTTTTAGATTACTTACGTTTCATGCACGCATCCGCCCTCGGGCTTTCCCGGCTCCATCCCGAGCAGCAGTCGTAGCTCATCTGCTGGGCGGTCTTGTGGTCGATGACGTCCCTGTAGGCCTGCTCGTGGACCACCTGCACCCGGGTGCACATCTGTCCAGTGTAGGTGGGCGTCTGGCAGGGCGTGGCCACGTGCTTCCAGGTGGGACGGGTATATACCTCCGTCCGTTTCACGGGCATCGTCACCGTCCGCTGTTGCACGCAAATGTGCCGCCTGAAAAAAAGTCCAAGGAAAACCAGAGCGAGGTGTGAAATATTGCACTTGGATTGGATTGCATTGGATTGGATTGCAGGGGCTGACCCAAATCAGCGGCTCATCATCTGCAAAAGTGAAACTGACTTTTCCAGACGACGGCGGCCAATTACTGTCATAACGACAGAGTCTCGGCCAACAGGTTGTATTTGGGAGTGGGATCTGGGCAATTGTCACATGTGTCTGGAAAGTGCCAGCTGATCGGAGCGATATGAGCGTGTTGCGGTGTCAGCGGCGTGGAGTACGCGTATCTGCGATGACAAACACGACACGCTCCCAACCGATGACTTGCAGCCATGTCAGGCATGTCATTTGTTTGCCAGGCTCGGCGAACAAAATGCATTTGGAGGAGCAGCCACGAAAAACAGGCATATTGGCAACTAGGCAACCAAGTGCTCCAGTTCACGCAACCGACAGTTCAGTGGCTGTCAACCCCGATTTGAGTGCTTGTCAAACCGTTGACAGAAATATCGCATGAATATTCAGTATGAGTTGTAATTCATTTTACATAGTTTATCTAGCAACATAAGGACTTACAATTTTTTTTTTTTAAATGAGCTATATTTATCAAGGATTTTGTTTGAATCTTTATTTAGTATGTAATTACCATAATGGAATTTATTTAAAATATTAAATGTTACAGAATAATATTTTAATGATTCAAATGCATAAAAAATAATTAAATTCAAGTTAATTTAACAAACACCTATTTTGGCCTTTATAGTACTAGTAGACCCCAACTTCCACTTCATTGTGTCTTCTGTGTCTCATAAATATGATGCCCCTGTGCTTCTCAAACCCAACCCAAATCCAAAGTACCAATGCTCCTAAGACCTTTGGCCCCAAGCAGACAAACATAAAAATCGCTGATAATAAGCGGTTTTTGATTTTGGTTGCCAAAAAAACGGCGAACTGGCCCAAAAGCGAGGTGCATCCATAAATTGGCAGGCTTGAGAGGCTGCGAATAAACGCTGGTGTTTGGTGTTGCTGCTGTGCAGTTGCTGTTGCTGCTGTGCAGTTGCTGTTGCTGTTGCTGCTGCTGCTGGTCGTTGATGGTGTCGTAATTGGCAATGCGGGCCAAAAACAATTGCGAACGCGTGACGTGGCCACTGAGTGACGACTGACTGCTGCGATCGCTGGCCTTTTTGTTGGCCAAAATTCGCGATTTAAAAGCGGAAAGTGGCACACAGTTGGCCACAATGGTCCTGCGACCGGGACATTTACCAATTTCTTTATTGCCGCGCATGCATATTTATGCGCTGTTCTTTTCCTGTTTCTGTTTGCTGTAACTGGCTTCTCTTGTACCATAATTCTCACGTTATTTATGCGCCAGCATTCTCAGCGTTAAGGGCGCCAAACAAACGGCAACGGGATCAGCTAAAGATACAGACTCAATCGAAAACAATAACAAGAACGGCCAACAAAATGCGGAAGTCTTCGCTGGAAAAGAAGAAACTGTGCCAGCAAAGTGCAACATGAAATGCTCATTCCCATTTCCATCTCCAATCCGCTGGCTGCATAAATCTTGAAGCGGGTTCAATACACAAACAAAAATTAAACAATAAGATCAATTCTGTGCCCTAACAGACCACTAATGACTACAAATTTCTTTTATTTACTAGACTTTTCATTATTTATTAAAATTTTAATACTATAATACGGTGGTAAAATTACTAATGCATAATTTAAGTTCATAATTCACATAGCAGATAATAATGAAATGAGAAATATTTAAAAATATGCCCAATTTTTTTCTGGGTGCAAATGCAGACGATGCACCCCGACCCCCAGCCGATCTGCCACGCCCCCTCGCCCACCGACGCATTGTATATATATCCCGCTGCGCC